GATGGGTTTTTGAGATTTTCTTCTTGTTTCCCTTATGGATAGGGCTGTGATGTTTGTTTTGTATTGTCAATTGGGTGGGTTTAATGCCCTGTCTCCCATTTTCTCCTTGACTCACAGGTGGTGGGCAGAGGCAGCAGTGCTGGTGACTGGGAGGAGCCTGATACCAACAGCCTCAGGAATTGTGCTCTCAGAGGAGCACTGGGCCACCATTGCAGCGTTCAGGTGGAGGCAGGGATCTGAGTCATTGAGCCAGGGCCCCATCAACGAAGCAGGGAAGCCCTGTCTAGCCAGAAGCCATGGGGGTGGGTTTGTGGTGTTCCTGGCGGGGCCATGCAGAAGCACCCTGTCTCTTTGCTTCGCTCCTAACTTTTGGAGGCAGGGGCATAGGCAGCAGTGATGGTGGCTGGGAAGGGCCCATCCACGATGTCTGGAAATTGGACAAGAGAAATGCTGAGTTGCTGCTGTGGTATTCAGGTGAGGGCAGGGTGACTGAACCGCAGCTATACCACAGAAGCAAGAAAGCCCTAGGTGGATGGAGCCACAGAGGTGACCTGCCTCCTCATTCCCTCTGGGGTCCACATCGGGTGAGGCAGTGGTGGTGAGGGGCATGTAGCCTCTGGAAGCTGGTGGCCTCCTGGAGTCAAGTCCTGGTTGCAGTGCTCAGGTCGGGGTAGGGTGGGTGCGGGAGGGCCAGTCTTCAAAGCAGGCCAGTCCCCCTTGGCAGGAAGCAGCAGAACTGTGGGGGACACATGGTGCATTGCCCTCCCTGCCCCTCCCCCTTCCTTCCATAGCTGCAGTAGTAGTCATGCGGATGGCAAAGTGCCTGGGTTGCCTCCTTGGCAGGGTGGTGGCAGCCAGCCCTGCACTGCTCAGGGAACCAAAGCCTACTGGGTTCCATGTGGACTTGAGTGATGCCTCTGTCCAAAGTTCAGGTGGCTCCCTGCATTCAGCTAGAGATGGGTGTCGAGGGGGCTCTCCTGTGACCAGGGTTGCAAGGTCCTGTGGCAGAGGCATGGAGTCCCAGAGTTCCTCACTCACTCACCCCTTCCCTGAGATAGGAATTCTCCACCAGTTTTGCACCAAAGCCAACTCTGTGGGCAGTCCAGGCTTGCTTTCCTCCTCCTCCTGGTTCCCATCACTTCTCTGGCGAACTTCAGCTCTGCCAGATGATCCAGATGAAGAGCTAGTGGTCATTTTAGTCCCTTTCCTTGGGAGATGCTTCTAGCCAGCCATCTTGAACCAGAACTCCTCCAAAATATGTCTTGAATCTGTATACTTTTTCTCCATTTTCATTTTTACCACCTAATTTAATTTTCTTTCATTGAAATTATTGTCAAGTCTAATTGATTTTCATTTCACTTTTGCTTTTCTGAGTTAGAGTCCTCTTTGAAAGATGTAAATTTCCAACGAAATTGTAATTATATATGAATGTAACTAATTTTTCATGTACATAGCTAATATGATATTTAATATAGCTTTTGTATATATATTTCTGTCTATAAATGTAAATACCTTTTAGTTCATTTTGTTCACACTTCCTTAAATAATATAAAAATTTTGTTAAAAGTGCTTGATTAAATTTTATCTCATTTTCTGACACTTTGACTATTAGGATTATAGACTAATTTTTAGAAAATAGCATCCATGAATTATTGAAATGGATTAGTCCTACGATCATATTTTATGAGGTGGGATGGAAATTATTAAACATCTAGTCTACCAGCCTATTTTAAAAAATGGAAAAACCCAGAGAGTTAAGTGACTTACTCAAGGAAAAATAATGTATTAATAATAAAGTTGAGGTGGGAATCGAGTATTCTGACTTTTAATCCAATGTGCTTTCTTACAGTATTTTTAACACTTATTTTTATGTGTTAGTTATCTTATATTGACAGTCAAATTAAGACCAATCAAATTCAGAGATTTGATTGTCAAATTAAAAATGGTGTACCCATACAGAGCATAAACATCAGGTAGACGCTCTCAGATTCATAAACTTATCCTCTTAAATATATTTGTTTAATGTAAATGTATACATATATTTATTTATAAATTATATATATTCAAAAGGAAAATATAAAAGTACATATACACACATATTTGCTGGAAGACATTTATGTCTCTTTTGATTTTATCTCTCCCTTTCACCGAGGAAACACTTAGGCTTAACTAAACTCAGATTACCTATCTGTCTGAATTATGTTCTCTTCACTCCACTAATGAGAAGGAAACTGGAAAGTAACATGACAGACTTTGAATGAAGTAAAAAAAAAATCCCTTTGTTCTTTCATTCTTAATTTCTGATTTAGAAATGTGTTCCTTTCTAGTGTTGCCTTTAAGAAGTATTCAAATAGAAAATCCTGATCACCTGATGTCTATTTTACATAATTTCTTCAGCAGAAGAAGTGACATTTTTAGAATGAATGTTTTAGTTTATTTTTAAAGAATGCTATAATGGAAACCCTGAAGTGAAACTTTGGGTAGTTTCATGTGTTTTGCATTGACAATTTTCTCTGAGCTTTTTAGCCTTGACTCTGCTTGGCTATTGAAAAATTACCAATGCATAGGGCTTTAGAAATTTCTTTTATGCTCACAATATGTTAAGTGAAAAATTAGAATGAAATGTGTATAAAAAGTTGCTTTTTCCTTCTTTACATACTCTGCACTTTCTAGTTTTCTACAATGAAGATGCATTACTTCTACGACTGGGAGAAATTCTATAATTCAAAAAATGTATTTAGAATGCAGATTTCCACAATTGAATCTGTCCATGTCAAGAAGGACATAAGTATTCAGTTTTCTACTGTAAATTTGTTCTTAGTCACTTGAAAGGAAAGGTATATAAGGACTGGATAAAAGGAGAAAGCTATTTTCATGGTAAAAACAAAAGTAAAGCATAAGTATAAGCCAGGTACAGTAGCTCATGCTTGTAATCCTAGCACTTTGGGAGGTTGAAGTAGGAGGATCTCTTGAACTCAGAAGTTCAAGACCAAATAATAATAATAATAAATAAGGAATAGACTTTAAATGGTGAATTACTATACTATCAAATCTATATTTTAATTCCCTTCTATACAAAAGTGATTAGTCTCTATTCATGCCCAAAGCATAATTTGTAAGGTCATAATTATAATCAACATTTAGTAAGTCAATGAACATTACTAAAACATTACTAAAATAGGATTATGAACTAGAATCAGTCAATGCAGCATATGAAAACAGACACTTTTCATTTCAGGGGTTTATTTTACTGCTTTCTTGGAACTCCAACAGATTAAAAAGACAATCTGAAAATAATTCATTTATGCAAATAAAATATTGATTGAAGAAATAATTACAGTGGGTGGGAAAATTGCATGTTGATACTAGATATTCTTATAATTACAAAATTGATTTTTAATTTTTAGTGATAGAAACTGAAATTAAACTGAAACTGGACCAGCACTTAAAAATAAAGCTAGGTACAATTTAAAAACCTATTGAATAAATAAGTAATCGAATAAATTAACTAATGAAATCAAATATATTCTCCTAGAAGGTTTATAAGATGTTTATTCATTGATCACATATTTACTGAGCAGTTAATCTGTGAGAGAGGAAAAGGAGAATGAGACATTGGGTCTGGATATGATACTCATTGCTGAATATGAGTGCTATGGCAAATAGTCATCTGTCTTGTGACTATCTCCTTCACTAGCTGAGTTCTTGGAGATTCCAGTGCTATTTTGCACATCTGAATTTCCAGCATCAGTATGCTCAAGAAATATATTTGAAACAGACAGTCGGTCAAAAATACATCTGGAGGAAAAGTTTAATGTGTGTCATATGAGAAGTACAAATAAAGTTTCATGATTATTCATAGAAGATAAATTGTATCAAGTGGAGGTGAGAAGGGAAGTGTTTGGCTACAGGATTAGCAGGTATTTAAAAAGCTAAGCAGTATTATTTAGGATGTCTAACAAAGCCATTTATGTAACAGTTTTATCCCACCACGAAACATGAATCACCCATTCGAATCCTAAAACAAGCTTCCAGCTCCTTCTCCCTCCTCTCAAACAGACTTTGAGGTGCCTGTCTTTAGTCTTGGAATACCGTGCCTTCTAGGAATGCAGTAAGGAAAGAAAAAGGTTTTTCAAAAGCCATATGGGCCCTGATTTCCATGGTATAAGGAAGTTGTAACTTCATGATTATCTTGCCATGCTTTAGTTCTTTGCTCATTGACACGTAGGTTGGGGTCAGTCTTTTAATGTGGAGATACTGCCAAGCCAGCTAAGTTGCCAGAATGACACAAATCACAGATGCAAATGGGGGTTGTGTTTGTTTAAGGGAAAAGACCACAGAAGCAACATCTTTCTTACTTCCTGTATAGGATCGCCTGGACTGAAATTTTAAAGAATTTTCTAGAACTGTTCACAAGAATATTTTTCCTTTTGGGTACACCTCCTAGCTGACTCAAAAATATGGGCAATATCATATTATCATAATACCATAAGAAAGGAATTGGCAGTAGTGGGGAACTGATGGAGGGCACACCTCATCAATAAGGCTACCTGATCTCAAACCAGGTAAAGTGAAGACCAAAGTGAGGCCCAAACTTTGCCTGCACAGTGACCATTAGTATACCTAACCCTGAATTGTACTCTACATCTTTAAAATAAAAATAAAAATTTAAGAGCCATTATATAAATAAATTTTTATTAAGTGCCTACAGAATTCTTAGCAACAGGAGGAGCTGTGGTTATGAAAAAAATTACATAGTAAAGAACCTACTTTTGTATCTAGGAGTTGAAATGGAATAGAAGTACCAGGAGAACCTAGTGTAAGAACCAGCCCTGGTCTGCAGATAAATGATTGCTCTGCTTTGAAACTCGATTTTGTGACTAGTCATGTGAACTTGAGTGAACCACTTCACTTCTCTGCACTTAAGCCCCTTCATCTATAAAATGAGGAGTTCGATAACAGAAATTCACTGTGCCTCAAATAAGTTTAGGAACATTACTCTAGATGTGTCTTCTGTTGTTACTCCACATAAACTCTTGAGCCTTAGAGAACTATCAAGGAAAAAGTGGACATGAGCTACAAGTTAATCACAGATTATCAGGGTTTAATCTTCCTTAATCCAACACCTCACTTAAAAAAAAAAATGAAGAAATTAAGATAGTTCTCTTGCTTCTATTTCTAATTAAGGTATCTCCTAGTCTTCCCAAACGCATAGTTTTATTTTCATATAGAAGTCCTTTTGGTATACATTGAGATTCATTTGTTTTTTTCTCAAAGCTCTTTGATATTTAACTATCATTAATAACTCAGAAGGCATAAGGAATAGCAAACTCAATAATTTTTTTTAGGGAACAGAAGTAATATTTAAGTATTATCCTTCTATCACCTTTTCCTCTTACCTAGCAGAGCTTAGATATCGCTTAGAAAAATAAATGATAGCTGAAAAGAAAACTACTATAACAACTTAGATGTTAATAACTTGTTAATTATCTTTGGAAAGAGAGGGCTATAAATAAAAATATCAAAACTATTATATTTATACCTACATAAAGAAACATGATTTGTTGAAGTTAGTTATTTGCCACAAAATCTGCAGTCTATATTACAATTACATTTTGAGAACGAATAATCAAATAAGTTGTATAATTTACTTTTTAGTGTTCCCTAAACCCACTTGGGACAAGAGCTACAAAGAGGACTTGCAATTTATTCAAGTTATAAGCTATAATACTTGTCATTACACATGAACATCCTGGAAACTTGCCAGACCTTCCAAAATATGCTCTTTCCATGAATGTCTGTTAAGCAATGTTCAACAAGGGATAGAAGGTACTTGATGTGATCTGAAGATTTTAACATCATCAGGGAGAGTTGTCACAAAAAAGGAATGCTTTTTAGTATTATGAAGTGTTTCCTATCTCAGTAGAAATTGCTAAGTTTCAGGGAAAATTTTTTACATAAAACCTATCCTTCTTTGAAGGAAATGCTTTACGCTTCTCTTAGGTCAGGAAACCTCTTAATAAAAACAAGTACCTTTCTGTGTTCTTTAGAAACACTTCCAAGTGACAGCTGAAAACAAACGTAATAAAGAACTACAGAAAACAGTGCTCATGGCATTAAAATGATTGGGAAGGACATAGAATTCCACCTTAAATAGTCATATTTGGGGGAAAATTTCTTACCATTTCATCTGCAGTAGGCTTTACATGTCCTTGATAGTGAAATGGACTCCAACATTCTGAGGTCACCTTTATTTACATTAGAAAAAGAAAAAGAGACAACTTTTGTTAACATTCTTTATTAACGTTCTTTGGTAAACAAAACAAAACTTCACAAAGCTACCAAAATAATTGGTAAAGGATCCATTGTCTTAATTAGAAATAATTGTTTTGTTATCAAAGTTACTCAATGTTTTATCAGAGCCTTTATTCATCTATATACACACATATAATGATAAATATGAAATGTATATGTTTGTATATATAGTAAATGTCCATTGTATATCGATATATATCCATATACATGAATATATATTAGATTCACTCCCCAGCCCTCACATAATCTAATTCTAAGCCATGGTCTAAAATCTAGAAGAAGGTTGGGTTGGTGGAAAGAGAGTTAGAATCAGGAAAATGTTTTATGAAGCAGTCCATACTAATCTCTTAGTTTCCTACATCATTAGGTACATAATGGCCATTCATTTTTGAAACTCTGATTGAGTTCAAATGTAAACCAAATATCCATTCGGAGTTGGATAATATCTTGAGTCTTAGCAAGGGATATCTTTTATTACATCTAGTACCTGTTGGTATAAACTCCTTACTATCAACTTCCACTACTTTTGAAAAATCTACATACCTAGTATCAAACACAGTTTCTACCTAAAGCACATCAAGACTACAGCAAAGAGCAATGGATAGAGTTTATAACAGAGATGGAAGGATACTATGGTCTGATTATCAGTCTTGCTCCCAAATTCATATGTTGGAACCTAATAGGTAATGTGATAATATTAAGAAGTGAGGCTTCCAGGAAAGTGACGAAGTCATGAGGGCAAAGCCCCTTATTAGTCCCCTTATAAAAAAAAATGCTGAAGGGAGCTGCTTTGCTCCTTTTCAGATGTATGAGCACACAATAGAAGGTGCCATCTTTGAAGCAGAGAGTAAAACATCAAATTTTGCTGATGTCTTGATCTTGGGCTTCTCAGTCTCCATCACTGTGAGCAATAAATATCTATTATTTATAAATTACCCAGTCAAACATATTTTGTTATAGCTGCCTAAAAAACTAAGACAAAGGGGATTTCAAATTTTATTCTAAAGGGGCTTGTGATGGGATTAAGAGGAATTTAAAAAGAGGAAGATAAGAATGTTCATTAAACATCTTCTGGGGGAAGTATGCATATTCTTCTTTATTTAATATTTATAACAGTCACAAGAAGTTTTTATTATCACCATTTTACATATAGGTACAGAGAGTTTAAGCAACAAGTATAAAGTCAAGGGTTATGACTCATGTAAAGGTAAGGCAAGTTTGGTTGCTATAAAGTACAAAACCAAACAGAAGTCTGGAGTTGTGGCCCACAGACTTTAGCCAAGGAACAAGAGGCTTAGAGTACAAAACTGACAGAGAAGTTGAAGTGGCTGAAATAAGTGCTTTGTGATTGGATTTTATTTTGCCACTGGGTATAGTCTGTGGTTTCTTAAAGAACTGGGCCTATGTTTTCAGGTCTGTGCTACATTTTAAGGATATCATTTATCTTTTGATGAACCCTTAGATTAATTTCAAATCTGGGTTATTGCAAATAGTGCTACAGTAAACATGAGGGTGCAGATATGTCTTTGATATACTATGTTTCTTTAGCATCAACTAAAGTCACACTTTAAAGTCTTCTACTGTAAAAAAAAAAAAGGAGATTAGAGTGTCTTTCTAGAAAACAAATATAGTTTTATATTCTTTTTTTAAAAAAACAGGATTTATTGAAAGGACAGTAAAGCTTCCACAATGGGAGGGGACCCGAAGGATATATATATATATATATATATATTTTTTTTTTTTTTTTTTTTTTTTTTATTGTTACCTGGTTGCTGGGTTTTTTTTACTTTCTCTCACGTGTTGATGTTCTATAAGTCTTGTAGTGCCATAATTTCTAGTGTTTTTCTCCATGTGTATTTCACTGTTTTGTTTCAGTTTTCAAAACTCCTTTGAGTATTCTTG